TTTACCAAGGAGACCACTGGTAACTGCTCCACTTCGCTTGAGTGGATGCCCTTCCCTTTACCAGAAGCCACTGGCTATAGAAGCAACCAAATTTGCACATCTCCAGGAAATGAAGAATCTTATTCCTTCGGATCATCATGTATTTTATGATTCTCTAGAACATGGCTGTTCAGACATTGAAACATGTCCACATGTTCGTAAATTAGTATAGGTTATCAACATCATGTGCCACATCATTCTACATCTTGACAGCCATGTTCTAGCTAGTAAATTAATTTAGGTGGTACTTTATAGCTAGTAAGTTAAAAATAAAGGCAGCAAACATCTTCGAATGCATGTTTTTTGTCCTATTTTATACACAGTTTTATACGTTAATTGCGGTTATAGTTATTTTATTATTCCGTTAATAAACTACGATTATTTTAAAATTATCAGCTTTTTTAAACAGCAATATGTTTTATGTCAAAACAATAGGTTCAATTAATTCATTGCAAAATGTGCTAAGTCCAATTATTTCCATAATTAAGCTACATTGGAAATTCATTCACATATTATTTTATAGCTCTTATTACCGTTGTAACACTACGTACTTAGATAACTAGTGGCCCGCCCTCGCTTCGCTTCGGTGTAGAGCTGGAGTGTAGACTATAGTTATTGTTCTCAGGCCTGTATTATACACAATGACATTCTTCTTATACCTACCGCCGCCGCGAGCCGTATCAAGCGCGGCAACCGTTACACAAAAATAATCCTTATAGCATGATTCAGTATTCACGTGCGACGGCGCGATGGCTTATTTCATGTATAAGTTTGGTGTTTCTATACCGATTTCTATGACTCTTTTTTTATTGAATAGGTAATAATTTAACTTTTTTAAATTAGGGGTGAGTGAGAGTATTATAAACGTAAGAGTAAACAAATATAATCAGAATGCTCCGAACTGCTAAGCTATCAGGAGTTACACGTGTTATTGTGAGTCAACCATAAAAGATAGACATATGCTGTTGCGGGATATTTTTTAGACAATTTTATGTAGAATATTTCCGTCATGCATGATTTCTATGTAACTTTAACCATTAAGGCTGCACACGCATCGGAAGCTAAAAAAATGGAGTAACTTCTCCCGTTTTCCCAACATTTCCCTTCACTACTCTGCTCCTTTTGACTGTAGCGTGATGAAAAGTATACTATAACCTGCCCAGGAGTATGAAGAATAATTGTACCAAGTTTCGTTAAAATCCGTCGAGTAGTTTTTGTTTCTATAAGGAACATACACACAGACAGACAGACAGACAGACAAAAATTTTACTGATTGCATTTTTGGCATCAGTATCGATCACTTATCACCCCCTGATAGTTATTTTGAAAATATATTTCATGTACAGAATCGACCTCTCTACAGGTTTATTATAAGTACAGATAATAAGCCCCTATCTAAGACTTCCACGTGGCAGCTTTATTGCGAAGAAAATGCATTTTTTTACAATAGATGTCGCTAGGTGCGCTTAAATGTGATTCATGTAAGTTAATTTCTTTACAATAGATGTCGCTAAGTGCGCTTAAACGTGATTCATATAAGTTGATTTTTCTGAAAGATAAACTTTTTTAATGTAATATAAATTGTCATGAATGTGTACGATGGCGCAATAAATAAATATTGTATTCTACCACATACATGATAGTACTTTTATACTGATAATTAAAGCAATTCGTGCAAAATTATTCCCTAACCATTCCAAAATATCAAAAATGCACAACGTTAATATTCAAGTTTTCACTTCTGCCGGCACTCCCGGCTAATCTAACCTTATTAAGTATTTTTTGAGGATCATTTAAATATTTTTTCCCTTTTTAGGGTTCTGTAGTCCTGACAAGGTACCCTTATAGTTTTGTCATGTCTGTTTGTCTGTCAGTCCCCAGTTTTGCTTGGAGACTGTTAGCAATAGACCTGTTATTTTGTGGAAATATGAATATCAATCACGGCGACAAAATGGTACAATAAAATATTTTGAAAAAAATAATTAACCTGGGGATGATTTTCTTTTTTCGTCGTTTATTATCGTGTGGGGTATCGTTGAATAGGTCTTTTAAAATTAAGATTCTAAGACTATTTTTCGATTTAGGAATCCATTTGCGAACTGCGTTTAAACAATAAAAATATATCGAATTAATTTTGAGTTTGAGACGCAGTTTGACTTTGATTTAGGTATTTTAGTTGAGATACGTATATTGATATTAATAGATTTTTTTAATTTCCGATACAGAAAATATAGACTCTTGCTCAAATATATTGTGATAACGACAGGCAACTAAGGCTGAGCGCAGATTAGAGTCACGACAGTTGTTAGACAATCTTGTCTTACATAGACGAGACAGCTTTACAATTAAAAAGAAACAGTTGTGTCTACCACAAGGCGCACACCAAGACGAAACTGTTTTGTCTACGATGCGACACACACCATTTTCATCAGTATCAGAATAGATTTCACCGATTATTTATTTTATAGAAATTAAGGCACCAGCCCAGAAAGTTTTACCAGTAATTTCGAATGAATGTATCAATCTATCTTTGATAATTTGTCAAAATTTATGGCCCCACATATTACTTATTTTATCGTATGTATTATATTTTCTTTCAGTATCGATCATCATCCCTAATCGCTAGACAATTTTGTCGTTGGTGTGCGCCCTCGCATACATTACAAAGGGAAGCGGACAGTCGTTAGTCAGACTTGTCGCTTTGCAGTTCTTGTGTACATAAGACTTTTTTGTCTATGAGACGTCTCGTTTCGAATGTGCGCATCTTCATATTTTTTGTTAAGCAATAGTCTGTCTTGAGACTGTCGTGACTCTAATCTGCGCTCAGCCTAACACTGCGCGTAGCACGACACGCACTTGGCCGGTTTTATTTATTGTTGTTTACACATATCTCCGAGATGCGTGGACCGATTTAGATGATTCTTGTTTTTCTGTTTGGACCAGTTTTTTGGCGAGATGGTCCCTATTAATTTGGTGAAGATCTGTTGAATACTTTTTTTTGGAGACAAACTACGGAACTCTTCAAAACATTATCTATTCAATTCGTGTTTGATTATTTATTTTAAGAAATATTATTGAGATAATGTATAGGCCAGGCACCTGCTAGTAGTATACTTAGTTGATGTTGCTTTGGTTTACAAAAAGTGTAAACCGACTTTGTCAAAACAAAACCACTAAAAGGTGAGATATAATCTAAACTACATTAACATTTGGTGTCGGTGCCATACATGTGGCATGGCACCTACTTTATGTAGTTACCGCCCGCGACTTCGTACGCGTGGAGTTAGTTAGAAATAAAGGTTCACTGCTCGTGCCCCGTAGGTGATAGCGTGAATGTAGCCTATATGTTGACCCGACTTCTTAATAATATTCTTAATACTTAAATTTGAAGTTAATCCATGCAGTACTTTTTGCGTTTATCCCGGACATACATACAGACAAACAAACAAAAATTCTAAAAACTATATTTTTGGCTTCGGTATCGACTGTAGATCACACCCCAAACTTGGGGTGTGATATATAGAATATATAGATATATAGAATACTTGTATTCTTTTAAAAAAATATTCAATGTACAGTTTTGACTTTCCTACCATTTTATTATATGTATAGATAAGTACTTTTTAGTGGTTTTCTTTCCATGAAGGCGGTTTTTATATTTGTTCTTTTTTTTACTTGGCCTTACGCCAATATCTAGACCGTTGTTTTCGATAAACAGTTTAAGACAAATTGTTTATCAATTTTCCAAATTTGTCGACGAGCGCTCCGCCCCGGGGCGCGCTGGGAGTTCATCCATTAGAGATAATTGGATTGTTGTATTATATAGTGGTGGTGAATGGCACACTTGGTGTACACATGTCCCCGTATCTAGCCACAATCAATCATGTTAGTCGCTTGACAGAGGCCCATGTTAAGAATAAGGGTCGAGAGTTCACCCCAATTTTATTCTGCTTGTTATATGTCGAAACCATTTGTATTTGCAATGTTGTTATGTTATGTTCCCAAATATTCTTATTATACCTTGTTTTTAGGGTTCTCTTTCGCCTTGTCCGCCTCTTCGTAGCTTATTTTTGACAGGATTCTCTCTTAGAAAGTTTTATCTAATTTAATCTAACAATTTTTAATTTTAATGTTAGTTAATTTTAGCTTTAGGGGCTCACCCAATTTCTTAATATTAATGTGTTTTTTTCAAGAAAGTAATTGAAACTATAAACATGTTTAAATTATTTGTTTTTATTGTATTATAGATTTTTTTATCAAAATAAACTTTGTATAAATAGAATACAATTATAGAGCATATAATATATGTATTGTATATAGAAGTAATCTGGCAACACTGAGTTCACGTTTGATGTAGCAACTAGTTACTTATCCTGTTCTGTCTGTGGTTTCAATGAATAAAAAGTGCTCTTGAGATAGCCGGTGTTTTCTTGGTGAAACTCCTGTGAAACTTATAAATACAACAATATTTGTCTATTCATGTACCTAAATATTTCCATAGAAAAATAGTTTTTCTTTTCAACCTTTATACACAACCACCTTGCAACATTTATGAACTACTTATTTGTGAATTACGGTAATGAAATACGTTCGCCTTGTACAACAATTTATTGAAGAAGGAAGGATGACACCATACCAAATTATTGTAAAAAGAGTTGTGGATACCTTCATAATAAAATCTTAGTACTATAGATAAAACATATTCTTAAAACTTAGTGTTAAGTTTGAAACTAATTAATAACATCTATAAGATACATACATTACAGTTTGATCTCATTTTGTGGAGTAAAACTTTGAAACAAAAGTATTGTACATAACATACTATGTAACTAATAGTGTGTAAATAAAAAATTATATCTCTAAATTATTATTTGCTTTGTGATTGTCTTTCATCTTTGTGGATCATTAATGGTAATTATAGTTAATAATTTTCCACTATATCACAATTGGTTTATCATTATGGCAAGTATTTTGTACCCTTTCCTTTAAAATCTAAAGGTATATTTATTATTATATTTTACTCTTTTGTTTTTGTGCTAACTGTTGTCTGAGGACTCGGCGCAAAATCTTCCCGGATGGATTCTTTGGAATTGAGTCTACGAATATCACACCTCCGTGCAGGCGTTTGTGGTAGGATAACTGAAAAAAAAATACAATAAAAATATTTATACTATTTACAAACATGATAGCGAATCAAAACATACATGATAGATTTGTTATACGAATATATTCGTCCTGCCGGGTCAGGTAACTACTTAATGAAGGCATTTCATCGTGAAACTTTATCCACGTGATCGCGACAGCACTAAAAATCTATTATACATTAATAGCAACAAAGTCATTTTTTTTAAGTAAGCAGTACATGAAATATCCTAACCACAAAAACAAAACTAACTAAATGCCAAACACAAAAGAAGCTAACCAGAAAGAATCAATTTGTGTACGTACTAGGTATTCATCATCAGATCAGATTGAAAAAAAATTGGTCTCATAAGCATCTCTTCGCAATATTATATAGCGTTCAATTAACTTTATTATTTATTATATTGTTATTTTTACCCGACTGCGCAATGCAAGAGCGCGTAGCGCGACGCGTAGACAGGGTAAAGTGTTTAACAGTCTATATATGTATGTTTGTTCCTTTGTGGCACACTAGAGACAAAACGCCTGGACCGAATTTGATGATTCATACATCAATCGATTCGTTTCAATCATGGGAGTGCTACTAAGGATATGATAGTAATCATATCCTTAGTAGCACTCAATAAAAAATATAATAATTTATATAGTTATTGAGTGAATTGGCCAAAATATAACAATAAGTGTCACACATAAGACGGAAAAAGATCTCCCATCTGCGAGCCATTTTGGCTTGCACTGCAAAAACAATAAAAGTTACATGAATGTAATGTAGAGTGAAAATGTATCTCTTAAATAGTTCTACAAAAAAGTCCGTGACACCATATATCTATTTTTAATTTGTAAGCCATTAAGGCTAAAATAGTGAATCAAAACTAAAATATTATTTGATATCCATTTCCAAAATGTACATTTTGTATTAACATATTATTTTTTATCAAAACAAATACTTTTATAGCTTTCGATATTTAAAGACGATAAACTTTGCCTTTTATACTATGTCATTTCGACAAATATTTAAAAAATTACAACGATGACAAAGTGATAGCGCGGTCTACTATGCAGGAGTAGACTGCGGGAATACTAAGGCTCGTATTACAGAATGATCATCTAAGTGTTAATCTTTACTTGAGTACTGTTAGAAAGGGATGTTGCTATGTGCTATTTGTAGTGACGTCCCTTTCTAACTATGCTCAAGACTAGAATAATTACTGAGAATCTTTTTATAACCCGCGCCTTAGAGAAGATACAACACGTTTTATACTGTGCGGGGGTCAGCTCACTCTGCTGGCGGCGAACTCGATGACTTCCTTGTGCGTGAGGCGCGCGTTCTGCTGGGGCACCACGAAGGCGGTGGGCAGCTCGCCGGCCGCCTCGTCGGGCACTCCAACAACACGTTCTATATTGTGTGGGGGACAGCTCACCCTGCTGGCGGCGAACTCGATGACTTCCTTGTGCGTGAGGCGTGCGTTCTGCTTGGGCACCACGAAGGCGGTGGGTAGCTCGCCGGCCGCCTCGTCGGGCGCACCCACCACCGCACACTCGGCTACGCCCGGGCACTCCAACAACACACTCTCCACCTCCGCTGGCGGCACCTACACAAAAACAAATCTACTTTAAAAACAATGAAAACGACCCAGCTTCATTTCTCTAATCAAACCTTAATATTTTCCTTATGATCCCAATAATACTGCACCCAAGATTGGAATGCGTGCTATATATAAAGTGCTATGGACTACAGATGCAGCCAGAAAAAACAGCTTAACATGTCATTCAAAGCATGGAGGAGCACGAAATAATATTTTGGTCGCCCGTATCAACCGGTCATTTGAAATGACCGAAAGTCACTAAGTTGGAATTTATTAAAATAAAGCTACTAACCTGGTTGCTTTTGTATTTAATGAGCTCCTTTAGCCTGTCGATGACGAAGAAACAGCCGTCTTTATCGTAGTAGCCGATGTCGCCAGTCTTCAGGTAGCCCTCCTCGTCAAATATGTCTCGGGTGGCGGCATCGTTGCCGGCGTACCCCTTCATGGTCACGGGACCTTTCAGACACACCTCCCCGCTTTCGTAGCAATCCAACTTTTGCCGAGTCTCGATGTCCACAACCTAAAGTGAGTGCGATATATTGCTATTTTACCCATTTAAAAGTAGTAGATTTTTAAATATACTTATATAAAATTTTACTTACACAATATATTTGCAATGTCTTTTGCCTACATTTTTATCTTCATTTATTTATTCCCACATTTACTTTATTTACTCACACATTTATGCAAACTTAAAAAGGTATTGAACTGACATTTCCTGAATTTGAAATTAAATCTATTTTATATCAATTTGAAACTTATTATTACTATAAGAATTAACTCAAAATTTACCTTAGCTTTCACACCATTGATAGGGTAACCAGCACTTCCTGATTTACTTTTTTCGAAATCCTTGTCGGTTGTAGCGGCCAATGATGTCTCTGTCATGCCATATGCCTGGAATACTCCGAGACAGCTAGGTAAACTGAATTGGAGAATATTCGATTACTAAATGTTACATACACACGCTTCATAAGAAAAAAAGCGAGTGTGCTTATGACCACACGACTGAAGTGAAACTTCTTTAGCTCCATCTGTATATATACATATATATATATATATATATATATATATATGTGTGTGTTAGTGTGTGTGTGACCGGTGATACTTTTCGTAACGCGTAAAGCATTAGCCAGTTTACCCCCCAAGCCAATCGTGCCTAAAGAAGTTTCACTTCAAAAATATTACAAAACTAACCTCTTTAGGGCATCGCTAATAGTTTCCGAAGTCAGTGGTGCAGCACCGCAGAAGACTATCAAGACCGACGATAGATCATACTTGCTTGTGAGAGGCGATTTTCCTAAATATACCACTATAGGAGGGACTGCTAAGAGGACGTTTACCTGCCAAACATAAATATACCCCATCCAACCTTTTCCTTATTATAAGGATTTATTTTACATGTCTAACTCATGAGTTGACATCATATTATTTTTATTAAAAGTGTCGATCGTTTCGTAACGTTCTATATTTATAAAGGCGAGTATCGCGCATTTAAAGATTATTGTGTTATTTTATTCGCCATTTTAACATTACTCAATTAAATAGCTATATTATGTTACCTTGTATTCCTGAATCGCGTTAAGATATGTGTGAGGATTGAATCCTGTCAAATAGACTAACTTCTTCTTACAAGCTAGGTAATTAACGGTCGACATCAAACCGTATGCGTGATACCAAGGAACTATAGTCAATAATATTAAATCTGGGTAAGACCCGTCCTCTACACTGTAAAAAAATACTAATTTAATATGGCAATAATCACCGTAATTATTTAACCCCAAACTAGGCAGACCTTGTATAATGCATACTAAATAACATCCAAGATTTTTAAGTGTCATTAACTATCATCTATTAATGTTCCCGCTGCTTAAGGCACAGGCATTTCCTATTTTCCGGGACATTTGCACCCCCCCCCCCCCTTGAAAAGAATCAAATCAAACCCCTCATCACCCCCCAGAATTAAAACATAAAGCAGGCCAGCGGTGTCATTTGTTATTAGTTTATTTTGTTACGAAACTAGCACATTATCGGAAGCCGGGATAATATGGTCTAAGCCAGTGGTTCTCAAACTTTTTAAATGACGGAACCCTTTTGGGAAGCAAAATACTTGATGGAACCCTACAATAAAACAATTATTTTTATAAGTGTATTCTATATTAATCAGCATAATAAAAGTACAATGTATCCGTTACTAATTATTATTTACTTCACCACTTGGTAAGGACAATAATAGAAAACATTAAAAAAGAAAAAATCTAACTAGTGGGAGGTATGAAACTGTTTTTTATTTTTCATCAATTGCTTGATATCAGGTTTGATGGAAGAAAGTTGGAGTCTCATATCAGCTTCGGCGTCCAGTCTATTGCGATATTTTGTTTTCGTGGCTGCGTAGGTAGAGAATCCTGTTTCGCACAAATATGTAGTTGGGAACGGGAGAAGAATATCCAGAGCCATTTGGCCAAGCATTGCATATTCATCTTGGATTCTGCACCAAAAATCATTAAGAGGCGTCGTTTTGAACAATGACTCCATACTTGTGTCTGATGACATTTCTAAAAGAGATTCATATATCTCATTTGACATGTTTTCAGGCTTTTCCAAGTTGGGTAAAAAAGGATTATGAATCCAGGAGTTCACTTTAATTTTTGTATTGTGTTCTTCGGGAAAATACTTTTCAAAAGATGCGCGCATCGAACTGAGATATTGGACCAATTCTTCAAACACATTATCTTCAAACATTTCTGAGTCGTTTTCGCTAACAAACTCAGTGAGTAACGTAAAACTTTCTATTTCTTTCTTACCAATGCAAATGATCCAAAAATCTAATTTTCTTTTAAAAGTAGTTATTTTATTATAGGCCTGAAACACTGTTGTCTGTTTACCTTGCAATGATAAATTTAATTCGTTAAGTTTTTGAAAGATATCCGCCATAAAAGACAATCGGAACAACCAAGTTTTATCATACAAACGGTCCTTCAAATTAAAAGAAGTATCTGCTGAAAGAAACATTTGTAACTCGGCTCTAAGTTCAAATAGCCTTGTTAAAGTTTTTCCCCGAGACAGCCATCGCACTTCTGTATGGAGCAGCAGTGTTTTATGTTTGCTGCCATAATCTTCACACAATAATGAGAACAATCGGGATTGTAGTGGTCGTGATTTGATAAAATTAATTATTTTTACCGCTTCATCCATAACTAATTTTAGATTAGACGGCATTTGCTTCATCGCAAGTGCTTGTCTATGCAGAATACAATGACTGGAACTACAATTAGGCGCTTTATTTTTCATTCGTGACACTGCTCCTGCTGTTTTACCTGTCATCGCCTTGGCCCCATCTGTACAAATGTCAATGCAATTGTTCCAACTGAGATTATGTTCTTCAAAAAATATATTTATTTTATTAAAAATTTCTTCCCCGGTAGTGTTTGTAAGCAGCGATGAACACATAAGCATGTCTTCTTCAAAAGAACTTTTATATGGATATCTCACAATAACCAGCAGGATAGCCAAACCAGCGACATCAGTCGACTCGTCCATTTGCAAAGCGAATCGTGTATTTTGTAGACGTGTAACTAGTTCTTGTTTGACGTAGCTTGCCAGATCATGGATTCGTCGTGAAACAGTATCGTTTGATAGCGGAACAGTAGAAAGATGCTTTGCAGATTTTTCATCAAGCATACATTTTGTTATGTCTAATACACATGGTTTTATTAATTTCTCAGCGATAGTGTGCGCTTCACCTGCTTGTGCAATGCGATAGCTAACTAAGTATGATGCCTCCGTGGCCTTTTCGTTGGTAGTTTGTGTTACATGCATCATATTTTTTTGACTTTCTAATAACTGATCTTTTTTGCGAACAAAAAATTCTTTATTCTTGTCTTTAGTCTCGGGGTGTACGGTTTCTAAATGTCGACGCAATTTGGCAGGTGCCATGGAACTATTAGGAAGCAGTTTACTACAGAGCATGCAGAGAGGTGAGCCGTTGGAATCAACAAATCCGAAACTGATATAAGATTCATCATACTTCCTTTTTTTCGTCTTTGAAACCGTCGAGCTTGACGTCGTGGCACTCGTGGCATCATCTTCTGGATCGGTGATTGCTAAATTCTCCGCGCGCATTGCTTTTGAACATTCAGCGTCATTAGAAGATGTTGTTGGAACACGTTTAACACCTTTAAGCCAACGTTCCATTCTTCTTTATTTATAATGTTACAAGTCAGGATAGTGGGGTTTAAATAATGCACAATCGTTACTGCGTATAAGAGACTAAATTTAGAACCTACAGGGAAGAAATGTATAAAACTGAGACAACAGAATACAGCAGGCAGTAAAACAATGAACACCAGTTTCTCGCTAGCGAGCTTGTAAGTAGGTAGTAACTTATCGCTCCGAACGCTAATCATCAACTGACGACGCCAACGCGCGATCGCCGCTTTTATACTTAGTCCTAGACTCGATCTCAAATATTCTCGAAAATACTCGAGTCGGCACCTTTGATAAACAAAAAGCAAAAATAAAAACAGAAATTTAAAAATAGCGTTGTAAACAATATCGACTTTATCCTTTGAAGTTAGAGACGAAAGTCGCTAGTTGACAACTATAGCGTCTAATTCAGAGGCGGCTTTTATCAAAGAGACTGAGCGCTTACAAGTATACCTACCCGCTCGTTTTAAGTTTGCCGCTGGCGATAGGTATGAGTGTATGACGTTCGAAATTTTTTATTTAATTGTAACAATAAAAATTGTGTACGTTAGATATTTGGGTAAAACTATGACACATTATAAGTTTTGTTGTCACGTGGGGGAGGGTACGCGCATTCCACAGACCGGCAAACTTAGAGCGAACGCGTTGTACAAGTATAAAATTGTTGAGACCAAACTTATGAGATATTGTACCAGCTAATGTAACACAAGCTTATACAAATACAAATAAATAAATAAATAACATTCATAGCGTTTTGTCTCCGCGCGGCCGCGGAGTCCGCACAGCCGCGGAGCGACCAGAGAGAGGTGTTTTGATTTTTTTATTTCTAAATTCTTGCGGAACCCCGACAGAGGTATCACGGAACCCTAGGGTTCCGCGGAACACACTTAGAGTATAGCTGGTCTAAGCAAATTCCAGGACAATCCCGGATTTCCCGGCCATCTGACAAGCCTAACTATAACCCACCACGCGGGCTCAGTGCGTATTGGTAGCTGGTTTTAATTAAACATAATATAAAATTAAGTGACGATCGGATACGGTTTTCATCAACAGCTCACGTACAGCCCGAGAACAAAAAAAAACTATAGTGTACACACACCAATCGTACTTGTGCCGTCAAAAATTTGCGAATTAAATCTTCTTACCTGAAATTGGAAACAGAGTACAGAACGTTTACGTGTGTAAGCATCACTCCTTTTGGTAATCCCGTTGTGCCTGATGAGTATAATAAGTAACACACGTCGGTCCAACCCTGCACATCCGCAACTTCATAATCTTGTATAGAGGTCGGTATTGCTATATCTTTATATGATAAAACATTACTCTCTTTTGGCACGCCGTTCAATTGTATCACGGTCTTGATGAAAGGTGAAGATTTGAATGTGGAATAACTAGCTTGATTCACTACTTCAGAGCTAATTAAAATGTTTGGCTTGGAAATATTTAACGCGTGGATCATCTCATCTGTAAAAATAAACACCTAGATTTAATAATTAATTCTACCATCATTGCTCTGACGGTGATTCGGACTCTGTATCTGAATATATTCTGTCCGAGTCGTCTAGTCGACAGCAACTCTGTTTAGGTAGGTAGGAGTAAGTAACAGGGATCTTCCGTTGTTACCCTCAAGTAAAGGAATCCTAAAAGTATTACTTCAAATAGGTAGAAATGAAATTTCCACAGGGGGCATTTTGTTTAGGACAAGGCGACGATATCGCTACTCGATACTTTGCTTGTGATGATTTGCTTTGCTTGTGATTGTGATGGCTGCGATCCCGGTCTGGTGGCCGGCCACCAGATACTCGGTGCGGTTCTCACTGCACCAGGTGACGATATCGCTACTCGTAACTTTAGTATAATGCGTGCTGAATGGTGTAATGCACACGCCGCAGGTGATGGCTGCAATCCCAGCCACCAGGTACTCGGTGCGCTTCTCACTACACAAAGCGACGATATCGCTACTCGATCCTTTAGTATAATGCGTGCTGAGCAGTGTAATGCAGGTGCCGCAGGTGACGGCTGCGATCCCGATCTGGTGGCCGGCCACCAGATACTCGGTGCGGTTCTCACTGCACCAAGTGACGATATCGCTACTCGTAACTTTAGTATAATGCGTGCTGAGTGGTGTAATGCAGACGCCGATGTAATGCAGGTACTCGGTGCGCTTCTCACTACACAAGGCGACGATATCGCTACTCGATCCTTTAGTATAATGCGTGCTGAGCGATGTAATGCAGGTGCCGCAGGTGATAGCTGCGATCCCGGCCACAAGATATTCGGTGCGGTTCACACTGCACAAGGCGACGATATCGCTACTCGTACCTTTAGTATAATGCGTGCTGAGCGGTGTAATGCAGGCGCCGCAGGTGATGGCTGCTATCCCGGCCACCAGGTACTCGGTGCGGTTTTCGCTGCACAAGGCGACGATATCGCCGCGCTTCACGCCCAACTTCTTCAGCCCAGTGCCGAAGTCCACGAGATCTTGCAGCAACTTTATGTATGTTGTGTTTTCGCCAGTTTCGCCGTTGATCTAGAAATTTAACGTCAATATTAGCTACTTATATCAAATAGTGATACTTTATTGCATTCCATGAGCGTAACATATAGAATTTACAAATATTGTAAAGCTTTTTTAAGATCCAACTTTCTAACAGTGTAAAACCGCAACATTGCTAACAGAGGGGGCTCTCAGGGGATTATCGCTTTAATGAAGCTTGGCCCTTCTGGCCATAAGAATGTACATACTACGGGTGTGTTTTAATCAGTGAGAGTCTGACATAACCTTACAGACGGCTGTAGGGTATCCATGAGGTTTTCAAAACCACTCCCCCGCCTGGGAGAAAACAAAAAAAAATACAGTGCAAGTTTCTTTGATAGGTTAAGTATTTGTTTTATATGGACTATTAAATTCTAAGAGACAGATGTTTTCTACGCGTAACTGACCATCAATAAAGAACATAGAGAAGGGCTTCGAGAATATGTGCCTCTATATGTATAACATAGGGGTTGGTTTTAATTAAAAGTATATAATCTCAAGGGCGAAGTGCCCTGGAAATGTAGGTAGGTACATAGTAGCTTTTCAAGATACTGACCAACCACTGAGCAGTCTTTCGATGCTTTCGACTGATTAAAATGGAAACTCTGTAATTGTGTATTACTTATCTTTTTAGGCAGTAAAATTAGGCAAGGAGGAGAAGCAAGTGGTAAAAATTTTACAAATACGTAAAACATTGGGATAAATGTAACAACATTACATTATTTAATGGATTATCAAAAATATATAATGTGACGACTGTCATAAAATAAAACTTTTAGTAATACTAATAAATGTGCCATAAAATCTTTATGATTATTATTATGTTTTGCTCTTTTATAATGTGGCTTGGGTTGGGTTACCTATTTATCTAAGTAGAAACAAATATGATAAATGCAGTTCTAATCAAGTTTAGTGCTAAATCACCCATTGTGAAATTTAACTTTAATACCTATTTGCGATTTATGAACATATGCAAATATAACACATCATATAAACCTTTCCTTTATCCCCAATTACATCCCTTACGAGTTTTATTTAGCGATAGCAAATAGCCTTTGTCCTTACCTCTCCAAGTAAGTAGGAGTGAAGGACTCAACTGAAATTTATTGAAGTGAAACTTCTTTAGGCACGCTTGACTTGGGGGGTAAGCTGGCGAATGCGTTACGCGTTACTAAAAGTGTGTTCGGGCGAGGCGAACGGGAGTTGAGTAGGGGATATAAGCAAGAGAAATCAGTGCTCGCTCACATTTTCTTTCTCTCTTTCTCTTATAGCTAGTAAATGAAATATGTAAGTAATAGTAAGTAATATCTTACAATTCATTGATAAAAATTTATAGCTTTTGGTAAATCCATGTGTGGCTGTCGTACCTAACTACCTAAAGGTACATAATGGTGCCAACTCTGGCGTGATTCTCTAAACTTAAAACTAAATTTAACATCAGTCTCTCCTTTTCATTCTGTATAGAGAATGACATGGATATACTGCTGTCAAATTTAGGTTTAGAGAATCATGCTAGAATCGACACCAATGTTCTTAGATCACCAACTATAATCTCTACTATTATGGACTTCGAAATGCGGGATAAGTAACTAACTGTGTATGGTTACGACCGAAGTACATTTAGATATTATTGCTCAATCTAATATTATTGGTACATGCTTTTTACCTACCAATTTAGGGCAGGACTCAAAGTTTGCTCTTAAAATCGATGTATCAGGTACTCCCATGGTGCCGTGTCCCATTCTACGGCGGCTTTAAAAAGTATTAATTAGAGTTAGATGGACGACGATAACGACTATGATATATCTAAATTCAAATTTGAGAATACAGCCGCTGAATCGTATCAAAATCGGTCCCTTCGTTAGGGTCTGAGGTTTCGGGGGTGAACAAAGAATGCCACACATTCAGACAGACACTGAGTTACATACACTGAACTTAGGAAGGTATAATAGGTATTTTGGATGTAAAAGTAGACGATAAATTAATGCTTACGATTGCCACACGGTCTGCTTCTTCCTCACATATAGTTTTGAATGTGTCCAGAATATGCTGACCGAAGTTGAGGTGTGCAGGTATACACAACGCTGGACCACCGTAAACCACTTTATTGTGTATCGCTGCCATTTATTTGCTTTAAATGAAATCACAAAACCTGCAACAAAATAATAAAATATATATTAGGCTAGCTGGTGGTGTCCATTTTGGTATGATTCTTCAAACTTGACTTGAAATTGACAATAGTGTATCCTTGTTATATTCTATACAGAATGAAAAGGAGAGACTGGTGTTAAATTTAGTTTTAAGTTAGTGAATTATGCCTGAATCGAAACAATTGCCAGGGCTAAGGATATTTCGATTGATGGCCTTTCCATTCATTGAGTTAAGATGTTTCCAATTCCTATAGTACAGGTATAGACCTCTACTTTCATGTGAACATGTGTTAAAAACACTAAATCATTAACCTAAGCGCAATTAGTTTTCATTTCATTTTTATAAAATCTTAAAAAGAACAAATTAAAGAGATGAAGGTACATTAACAGATTTAATATACAAATACATTTATTAAAATTTACATTATACAGTCAGCTTATAACCATGGGTCCCATAATAGGATTGTAGGACCCATGGTTATAAGACAATTGACGACCTCCGTGGCCGAGTGGTTTGTACGCCGGGTTTCATAGTGTCGCCGACTCGAGAGGTCCCGGGTTCGAATCCCGGTGGGGGCAGATGTTTGTGTGATGAATACGAGCATTTGTACTCCAGTCATGGATGTTTAATATGTAATTCTATATGAATATACTTATATATGTACAGTATATGTATTCTATCCGTTACCCTAGTATGCCATAACACAAGCCTTATAGTGCTTACTTTGGGGCTAGGCTAATTGGAGTGTGTTAAAAAAAAAATAGGAGGTCCTGTATCGTGGGGCACCCATTGAATGTATAAAAAAATATTGCAACAGATGAAAAGTAAGATTAAAGAATACAGAAACTAACTTTTTAACTACGTTATAAAGTAATAAAGTGTGTGTGTGTGTGCTTGTCTGTATGCATGTAGGACGGTGAGAGCCAAAGACTACGGGTAATGCTATTCCAGTCGTTTAAGCAGGTTTTCGGATTGCATGTAAGTCATGGACAATCTAAATAATTTACAAGCAAATTAGTACTGAGTACCTACTTATTTTTATTTATAATAATCACAACCTTTTCTTTCTTGCTCTAGTGTGTTTGGACGAAATTCGACCTTTGTAATTTTGGACGTTACCGAGGTTATATTCGGTATTCAATGTATAAAATTCATAATTCATAAGTCATTTACAGAATTACAATATACATACAATAACAACAACTTGAAAACTACCTAATGTATAAAATTTAAATACAATTCGCTCAGAGAGATACTCTCCAAAATTTTAAACTGTTCATTTTCCGATAACGCTTGGAAGCAGGCCGTCCTCCCTGTTCGTTTCGGAGGTACAGGTACTATATAGTCATATTTCCCATATTTCCCTTCCCGCTTTTCTGTCTTCTGCATATGGTACAGCCGAGCTCTTTAATAAAATATCATGCCCGTCTTTGGGCGTAGTGGAGTTGACTCACCTTGCAGAGGCCAGAAGCGCTTGGTCTAGGGCATGGCTGGGAGTGAATCCACCAACCTCTCTATCTTCTCAGAGACAGTGGGACGAGCCCCTCTGTTTGCGTTTTCAGAGTGATCTTTTCGATCCTTCTGAAAACGCCACTGAGCGTGCTCGACTTCTAGCGGTCTTTCAGGCAAAGTCTGGTTACTGGCTGAAAGCTTTACCTTCAGCCAATATCCGGACTTTACTTGACAAGAGCACTCTGTCTCTGGCAATATCTTGGTGCCAAGACGAATCATCCCTATCGTTTTCGTTGCGGTACTCGCGTCGGTGAGTTCGGTCACCATGGTCCCTCATGCCAAATGAACGCTGACCGAGTTTTCCGCCACGCCTGGATAATGCCGTCATCCACAGAGCTCTTGTCGCAATCAACGTGCCAGCGGTCCTTGAGCCTAGCGGCATCTTTAGTGACGATGGCAAGAAACCTGACGGAATGACGCTCATTCCGTGGAAGCAGGGTCGCCCTCTTGTATGGGACGCAACTTGCGCGAATACGCTTGCTCCGTGCCATACAGGGAGCACCTCCCTTGCTTCGGGTGCGACGGCGGCCTCTGTCGAGTACTCCAAACGGTCCAAATATTCAGCTCTCAATGGAACTATATATTTGTGCCATTTGATGTTGAGACCATGGGCCCATGGACCCTAAGCGCTCATTCCTTATTTAAGGAATTATCGAAAAGACTCACCGTAGTGACTGGTGACCAAAAGGCTAGCAGCTATCTTGGTCAACGGGTCAGTCTTGCCATTCAACGTGGCAATGCTGCCAGCTATTTGGGCACCATTCCTGACGGCGGCGCTGGGGGTGACTAATTATACATTTTGTAAATTCGATATTATTTTTACTTAAGTAGGTTAAGGTAATTTGTATTTAAATCTTATACATTAGGTACTTAATTTATAATTCTATAAAAAGATTAGCTTTCTGCACTGACAAATATTTGCAAGTAACGAAAGTTTTCGTTTAGGCCATGCTAAACTAAACTAAAAAGGTAAATTTAAAAAATCAAAAAACCCGACTCCTTAATTATAATTCAAATAAAAACTGAAAAGAAAAAACAAGTCCAGTAGTCTATAACTCTGTTAATAAGGAACAAAGCTACTCAACAGTCGGGATCCATTATTGAAAAATATTATGTATTCTTGAATATCTAATGGGTCCCGACTGTTAAAGTAGCTTAGTTCCTTATTAACAGAATTATAGACTACTGGACTTGTTTTTTTCTTTTCAGTTTTTATTTGAAGTATAATTAAGCAGTCGGGTTATTTGATTTTTTAAATTTACCTTTTTTATTTCACACTTTTTAGTTAGTTAGTATTTAAAGACGGTATATACCGTAGTCTTGTTACTTCAGTAAGGGAATTAATATCGCGGGAATTATTAAGTACCTTGCGATGGTCTAAACGATTGATTTATTAAGACATATAGAGTGAAGTTAAATCAAGTCGTTACCTATGTAATGTATGTAAATTTTATAGTAAACTAGCACTTATTCAAAAAGTCATCTTTTGTTTATGTTCTTTTTAGTAGTTTATTAGCAGTAAATATAAAATCATTTACTTTTATTCGTCGACTATTTAAAATTGGCAGTTACTGCATTGCCATGTCAACGTCCGGCTCTAAGATTGTGATATACACAAATGCAGTGTCATATCCTAGACTCAAAATTTGATATATCTACATAATTTACAGAAACCCAATATGTAGATGCCAGAAGTTAACTTGAAATGTTGTTAATCACCCTATATAAAATACCAATCAATGACGTTTATGTCGCAGGTTGAAGAAAGCAGTAATACCCGTCTGTTGTTTTGGAAAATGGTGGCAACTGCCTTAGATCGCTAAATTAAATAATTATGCAATCACCAAAGCAAAGTTTATAATATTTGATTAAACTAAAGGCACATAATAAAATTTTCATAACGTTAGGTAGAGCACCATAGCAATCTCTTTTATTATCAATTTATGGTTCTCTTTGTAGTTAGCTTTTAAAGCGTTGACATATAAGAGGTCAAAAACTTTGTGATCGACCCTTTTTTACCCGGCTGCGCAATGCAAGAGCGCGAAGCGCGACGCGCAGACAGGGTTATGTGTTTAACAGTCTATATATGTATGTTTGTTCCTTTGTGGCACACTACCAAACGCCTGGACCGATTTTGATGATTCATACATCAATCGATTCGTCTCAATCATGGGACTGCTACTAAAGATATGATAGTAAACAAAATTCAATATGGGCAAAATTAGGCACCATATTGTGACGAAGTAAAAAAAATAAGTTGACAAAATATGTCGAGTGGGGTTTCACTGTCTAGATAATCAAAAATCATATTTAGGTTCCTAACACCATTTTTCATTTCATATGATTGTTTAGGATCTACAACGCTTTAAAATTGTATATTAACCACTTGTGCTTTTAATTTCAATCTTACGTTTGTATGGATCTTTGTTACTCTTTCACCTAAAAAATACTGAATGGATTTTAATGAAACTTAACAGTAATATAGCTCATATATGATAATTACATATATATAATAATTTATGTAGTTACTAAGTGAATTGGCCAATATATAACAATAAGTGTTACATAAGACGGAAAAAATCTCCCGTCTGCGAGCCATTTTGGCCTGCACTGCAAAAACAATAAAAGTTACATGAATGTAATGTAGAGTGAAAATGTATCTCTTAAATAGTTCTAAAAAAAAGTCCGTGACACCATATATCCATCATTAATGTGTAAGCCATTACCGCTAAAATAGTGAATCAAAACTAAAATATTATTTGATATCTATTTCCAAAATGCACATTTTGTATTAACAAATCATTTTTTATCAAAACAAATACTTTTATCGCTTTTGATATTTAAAAACGATAAACTTTGCTTTTTACCCTATGTCATTTCGACAAATATTTAAAAAGTTACAACGATGACAAAGTGATAGCGCGGTGTACTAGAAGTACTAACAATAAAACTGTGATACAGTTCCTTCTTATTAAATGATGAAAAATATATTATCATAATAGGTATTTATGATTATTGAATTTTAATGAAAAACGATATTACTTAATGCTACAAAAAAGGTTTACTTAATATAATGACAAATAACCCATTTTTCGCTAGTAAGTACATACTTATTGAAATCCCTGTATTTATTAACCGGCTCGCGATAATATTGGTTTTGTAATAATTCTGCAAAATTCAAAGTAAATAATGTAGATTTTTATAGGTAAATCACCCCTTTCATCACCCTACGCCTATAAGTATTGCGATGTTGTAGCTAAGAACCAAGTTCCCATCTACTTCTATATGGGAATGCATTATATTCGATTTAGCTATTAGGGCACGGAAGCGCAACAAACAAACTCACTTTCGCATCTATAATATTATATTATACTTACTAGTGATCCACCCGGGCATTGTACGGGCGAAATTTATTTATCGGGATAAAATATAGCCTATGTCACTCGGACAAAATGTATTTAAATAAAGAAAAATGTTATAATAAATAAT